AAAAAAAGAAAGACTAGGCCACAGCAGAGGCTGAGCATGAGGAGGTCCCTTTGTAACGAGGCTATTTCCACCACACTGTGCCTAGATGTCCCCTGCTCCCCACACTTACATGGAAAGCTCCTCTCCCAGAGCCCTTCCCATGGGAAAGTGAGCTCAGGAGATTGCATATGCTTTGCTGAGTTCCCCCAAAGTGTGAAATCCTACTTCACACAGGTAGTGTGTGGTTTCCATGCCCTTTTGCACAGCTTTAATGGAGACGGTACATTCTCATTTGCATGGCAGAAAAATAAAAAAGCTTTCAATACTATGTGCTTTACTTCTGAATGACAGGAAAACAAAAAGAATAAAAAGGACATGGATGACCCTCACCTTTGTGATCAAAACAATACAATCAAGACAGAAACTGCAGAACACAAATAAAATAAAAATAAAAAATGTTATACAGAAAGAAAAATTTGTAATTAATCTAACAGATTAAACAATTATGCATATAGCCACAAAGGATATCTTCCTCAATTTGAGATCCTAATTCTTCTTCATCAGCTCCAATAGCAATGTAGTCATCTAAAAAAGACACGAAGATTATCAAGAATAAGTGACTGTAACATATTCTTAAAAAATCAATACAGAGTAAATTAAACTGCACTCCTATTTCTTCAACCCCATTTGCCGTCAATAAAGAATCCTTTTAGTTCAGTGTCATTAGGATCTGGTCTCTTTACTATCTACTAGACGACTCCTCTGGATTCACCTAATGTCCACCGTGCTCCTTATCCCACAGGAGTAGGGAAGTGATCTAGAAGGTAATTCCCCATTTCATAACTCCATACAGTCTGGCTGGCTCCAGCAAAGAGTAGAAAAAGTTATAGAAAGAACTGTCTCATGTCCTGTGATTCAGGCTTCAATGCGAAGAAGCCATTCATTTAATCTGCCATGCACATATATGTTCACACTCAGAAGAATCCTATGCAAATATTAAAAAGAATAGGAGGAAATATAAAGAAAGTAGGAAGAA